TTTTTTTTTTTTTTTTTTTTTTTTAGATAGGATTGATAAGATCGCGATATTGGAAACAAGAGTAACACGTTTCAAAATTTCCCTGCAAAATTTCCCGTTGTTCTATTTAAGTCGTTCCATAAACGGAGCAGGAAAGAAAAATTCGTACATAAACTTCGCGATTTTACGGCTGATGTTTGTTGGAAAGTTCCCAGAAGGCTCGAACGAGGCTTTTCGTTCCACGTTAATTCGATTTACCTGTTACTACTTGTTCTCTCGATATCTATCTCCTTTATTTAAGGGAGAACGCCTGTTCAGATGTTTGATATCGTAGATAACTATTACACAAGCGGAAGTGCACGGGGATCGAAGACTATCACGCAAATCCAGGATAATCGATGGAGAGTTTACCGAGCAAACAACCGACACGCGATTTACAAGACTGATTGTCCATTTTACAACGGTGATGGACCGTCCGATATTTGTTCCACGTCGATTGTTTTGTACCCAAATTTTTACCATATCGATGAAATAATCGGCTACGAACATTTTCGCCATTTAACGATTTAAATTCACTATAAAAATTCAATTCAATTCAATTCAATTCGTGAAATTTTCGTACGATGTTAAAAAATATATATATAATGCAATTATAAAAATATCGATTTAAGATAGAAATTATAGAGAGAATAGAGTTGAACGGACGAGTTTTTTAAAATATTTCACAAGTATTAAGACGATAAATTCGAATGGAAACCAATTGTTAAATTTTTATTCCGAGGCATGACTCGGTGTCGTTCCATCCGTTTACGTCCTTTTATCCATCTTCTTCATCCCCTGAACTCGAACGAGACTTCAATTTTTCGCCACTTTCATCCCTCGAACGTGGTAATTCAGATAAAATTCTTCGAATTCTCGTTTCATCGGTTATTCTATCCGGCTGGACTTTCTTCCTCTATTCTTTGAAAATAATATTTTTCTCGTCGTCTTGTCTTGTCGTCGAGACGGATGAAGTGATTAAAGACACGCACCACGTCATATTGACGTTTAAAAGATCGATTTTACGTCATCCGCAGTCTATCTGTTCGACGACTATATTTAAAATGTCTTTTCTTTTACACCAATATAAGCAAAAGTTCAAACTCTCTTCAAAAGAATCTGATTAATATTATTAATTATACATGGAATAAAATTTTATCGATGAATTTTCAATTTTGATTTTCTCAGAAAATTATTCTCTTTCTTAGACTTATTTCTACACGACTAGAATTCGCATACTTCTTTGCGAAACACTCTGCCACAAGTTTCTATATAAAACGATCATTGTAAATCTAACGTTCTAGATCAATCGATCAATCCTGTCAAAATAATTATACGAGTAAAGTTTTGTCTAGAAGTGACAATATATCTTTCGAGATGTATGTAATCGAGGAAAGTTTACGATATTGAAAAAAACGGAGCAAAAAATATAAGATCTGTTTATATCAAGACCTCTCTGACGGATGCTTTTGTGTCAGTTATATCTTGCAACGTGATTTCAAGGAATTTGCACATTTTCCTATACGCAAGGGGCTCGAAATTCCGTCAAATCTCAGCCGAAATATTATCCCATTCGCGGCGGCTTTTACCATCATCCTCGTTCCTCGAAGAAATCCTTTTTATCCCGTTGAAAAAGCTCGCTCCGAAACCAATCCCCCCACGAATCTGATGTATCCTCGAATTTTTCGGTTTCGAATTCGATTTCTCGACACGCGTGTTTTCCTTTTTTTCTTTTTCGTCCATGGCCTCGACATCGATTCCCGACAACGGAACTTCCGCTTTGCTTCTCCGTCCTCTCGAGTTCCATCGAGAGTTTCGCTGGAAGACGACTCACGAATCGTTGATTTCATTGCCCTTTCCACGTTCACGGCTCGACGACGTTCACGGATCTCGAGAGGTAACGAACTCGTTTCGTTAAAGGTTGCTCTTCTCCTTGCTCGGTTATCACCATACAATCGAAAAATAAAATGCTCGTTGCCCTTTCCAGCTCGTTTACAGCTCTCTCGTATGTCACGATCCATAGTCAAGTTATACGATGATCAATTTCTTTCTTCTTTAAAGGTCACAACAGTTGTTCTCTCGGATGGTTAATTTTTCTCTATTATCGTAAAATCAAGAGAGAGAGAGAGAAAAAAAATGAAAATCTTCGTCGAGATCCAAAGTTGAAATCAATCGACTTCTCAACGAAAGTAAGAACTTCTCCTCGATCAATCGTTGCCGCGTGAAAATGAGATTGTAAGAGAAAAAAGAATCGTTATTTGGCTTGTACACTTTACACAGATCGAAAGTGTACAGTTATTAAACATCGAATATCGTGAATCGCGTTTGTTTAAATATAATCGATAATTTAATTTCAACAAATTTATCATA